ACTCACTGCCTTTGGGAAAAATCGTATTACCTTCACTCAGAGGGCAGTGAGGCCCTGGCACTACTGCCCAGAAAAACTGTGTGGTTTTTCTGGGGGTACCAAGGCCAGGATGTATGGGGCCCTGGGCAATTTGATCTTGTGGGGGGCACCCAGCCCATGGTGGGGAGGGCCTTAAGGTCTTCCCAATTAAGGCTTTATAATCATAACCTACTCTCATGTTGTCTAGCTTTTATAGCTTGATAACAACAGAACAGAACACCAGTGGGCCATGTGTTATGCACAGCACTCAGTGCCAACACCACTGCCCCATTGCATAACGTGTTCCACTCTCAAGGGCCACCAGCAACTTACACAAGCACTGAGAGTAATTCACATGTATATTAAATTCAGAAGATGATAAAAGCATAATGTGTGTTTGGCTATACAGCAAACATTTACAAAGCATTTACAGTTTTCCCACTTGTTGATCTTAGACATCTTCTTTCTCACCCATTAAGTCCTGTGAAAAACAGCAACAAACAAACACACGGGACAAGTGTAAATCTGGCTGTAATACACTGAAAGGAAACAGTAGTCATTCAAATTTTAAGAAATAAGTATTGGAAAGCAAAAGATGGAAAGAGCTACTGGTGGTATGTACAGCCAAGTCAGAGTTTACTCTCCCTAGCATGTATGACATTATTTGGTGGCATAATTATTAGTAAAGCACAAGAGTAGCTGTCTGGGCAGCTTATGTTTTCCATTAGCATTTTTGCAGTGTGATGAAATAATACTGACAGAGAGGAAACAGCATATGAATCAAGTCCTGGCTGTCAGACTAGAGAAATGAATATGGGACTCCGATATAATTTCATTTTCATGGAGAGTGAAACTACTATATAATTTGGTAGCGCAAGTCCTCCCTTAGGATACATGTTAGCTCCTGTGATGCTTCTGCTGATTCCAGCTCCATGCTTTCGTAACTGCTGACTTGGGTAAAGTTACTTGATGGTGTACACTAGCAGAGTTGGACTCTGCCAACTCATTTTGTTCCAGCCTCAACTGAAGGTGCTCCATGGGAAGCAATACTTACCTGTCCACCAGCAAATGAAGCAGCAGCTTCTCTCTCTCTCTTCCTCCCTCCCTCCCTCTCTCTTACACTTGCTGGGCCAACATTGTTGCTTCAAAAAAGCCGGATGCCATTTCTTCCTCCCCTGCTCAGAGAAGCTCCTTTTAACAAACAGCTACACGAATTTCACAGTTAATCTTGCACACAGAAAATAAAACTTCTGATAACCACACTTAACGTTATCATACGTTTGTTGCTTGGCCTGCTGAGTTGATAGGATAGCACAAATGGGAACAGTGGTGCAGCAGCTACAACATCAACTGGAAGATGAAAACAATGATTGCATCTCTGGACTCCCCAGCCTAAGCCTTTTTACATTGCATTAACTGTTGTTTCTCATAGCTGAAATAGAAATCAGATATGAAAAAAAAGTAGCTCAAGCTTCTGGTTACAGCAAGTCATAAGTTCTCTAAGATTGCTCAGGAACATCCAGCACCTTATTCTGGTTTCAGGTCATGGCCATATCTCCCTGGTCAGTGTTTCCAAGTTAAGCACATTCTATTCACCCAAACCTTCCAGCTTGTTTGTTAGCATTACTGTTGCAAACTGTTCAGCTGAAGTACTGGAAAAAAAGAACTATTAACCTAGAAATATTTTGAGTCATATCTCTACCTAGTACTGACAAACAGCACTGCACTCATTCAAAATGGCAGATGAGCTAGCCCTGCAAATATTTACCTATTTTCTCAAATACCCAAAGAAAAGATATATATATATATTTAATGAAATGTTTTATTTCATTCCATTAATACCCTGAAATCTTATAAAGGGTCCTTCAGATGCAAAGCAGTATACTGTTAAAACAGAGGAAACATTTATGATTTCTGGTTTCTTGTAAACTTCTAATAAACAAACAACACACATTTCCCCACAAGAAAATCTTGCTGTTTAACAAAGGATAGTGCAGTGCTCTGCAATTTGGCTGGCTTTTCACGCTTTCCCTGTTCTTCTAGTGAAAACTTAAGCCATGAAATTTCTTTTTTGTTAACGCAAAGACATGGTAATGTCAAGCATTCATGACCATAAGCATGGAAAATTGATGAAATTACAGTGTGTTCAGGAAAATAATACGGCGATGAGAGAAAGAATCTTTGCTTGTATCTGCGTCCTGGTGGCAGCTTTTTGAACAGGTGAACATTTTTTCCTCCCTCTGTGCAAAACATCTTCGCATGAATACATCAAACAGATGCCTATGGAGAAAGGTCAAAGGGAAACAGTCGCACAAATAATTAAGATATGAAGAGACCCCATATTTTTTATTAATGCTTTGCACTGTCTTGTTCAGTTGAGATACACCTTTAAAACTTGACACAAGTAAGCCTATGCTAAGCTCTACAAATATGGAAGACAGCTGTCTTTACCTTCTTTTCTGAACCCAATGGTAATGCCCAAAATGTGGGCACACAGTTTATAGGAGAGTCTTGGAGTTGAGTGCATTTAAGGAAGAGCTGGCCCTATTCAAAGCTGTATTGAAGGTTCTTACAGAATCCATGTCATGCACAACTCAGCGCTGACAAAAGCTGTATCTGTAGCGTCAATAAAAAAACATTCAGGGGCTGTACTCAAGGGAGTAGTGCCACCTTTGGGGCTGAGCTGCTCTTTGCTTAAAAAAAAGTAGTATGGGTAACAGGGTCTGTCTTTCAGAGATCCCCAGGACCTAGCACAGGCCTCTGGGTGGCTCAACCCAAGATCCTCAGAGCTCAAGCACTCCTGAAAGATTGCAGCTGTGCTCCAAAGAATCTGAACGCTGATGTAAATGCAAAAGTGATCAGATACTACATTTCCAAACTGTGTTCTAAATCAGATTTACGACTGGAAATGCTTCTGGCTATTTCTTTGAAATCTCAATAATAATTTATAGTTGTTTACACCTAATTTTTCCACTCACATGCATTTTAAGCTTCCATGTCTTGTAGATGTCTCTTTTTTCCAAGCAGACAGTATGCTGTTACCTTTTATGCATTCCACCCATGCCTTAGAGGTACAAACATTCAGGATGGGAGATCTCTCCCAGACCCTAGGGAACTGATGAAAACAGAGTTATATGCAAAACTGCCACTGCTTGGCTTGTCTGGGGGACTTGAAAGCAAGGCTTTCTGTCACCAAAGCTGAAGACCATGTTCACTGATGTGAAAGTAAATGCACAGTTACAGGCTTCCCTGTGAGTTCAGCTCCTGCAGGCTGACACAAACCCAGTGCACAGCTTTGTTTCAAGGCAGCCCTTCATTTGTTACAAGTGCGCTTTTTGTTCAGCCTGCAGGCACAGGCCCCAGACAGAAGCTCCCCACAAATTTTTCTCCTCTCTGGGATCAGATCAGGTGCACCCAGAGGTTTTCTTGTTTGGGATAAGTTTCTCAAATTCCTGGCCAGGCAGAGATGCACAGAGGGCTCATCTTCCAGCAGCCATCACCATACTGCTCTTCCTAAAATTCTAGAGTTTTTGCTCACATTGTAGTCTCTAGGAGGCAAAGATCATCACCTCTTAATGCTCTTCTATACAGGGCTGAGGACCAGGGAAAGCTGAGAGTCATACGCATTTAGATGGCTACAGAAGCAGACATACACTAGCACTCAAGATCTACCATAAAACAATGAAGAACACCGCCACCTCTCCAGAAACCAAAGCCTCATACAACCTTTAAAAGATTGTATTACAAATAATTATATTTGCAAATATATATCTTTGCAAAAAGCAGGAACAAGACATTGTCACATAACACAGGGAGGAGATACAGCCTTCAGGCACTGGCATTAGGTAACCCCACAGAGTGCCAAGCAAATGCCAGATAGAAGGAAGCCCTTTCCTGACGCCCCAGCATATGAGCGAGACACAAACCGACGTGGAAAAACGCTGCAGGAATGGCGAGTTGTATTTTCACACCCTTGCTCCCGCTTACCATCGTCCTGGTGCTGAGAGCACGTTGCCCTCTGGTGGCTGCTTGGCCGAAAAAGCAGGGGTTTGTGATCAGAAGCGTAGTTTTCCAAGTTTTTTCACACCAGTGTTTTATTCTGAAGGTCGATCCGTTGTACTTCCATAAGTCCACGTGCAGAGCTGTCCTTCCTGCATATACAGCACATCAAACGTGTGCAGTCATTTTCCTAGTTTGCTGTGCTGCTGTGCCTCAGCAGAAGCTATAGGATGAAGTTCCATTTGTGAGAAGTTTTAGTTATTAACAGCTGGGTCTGAGTCCTGTATTAATTCAGGAACACTGAAAATTTCTGTATACGGAGTGCCAGAAAAAGGAAGAGCTGACAACACATAACATTAGCAGAACTAGGCACAAACACTCCCCATCTGCCCTGCGAGCTGAGAATAGATCAAAACTACTTTCCTCCCAAAGGCTTCTAGAGCAGATGCTGTTACATTTCTGACTGTTCAGAACCAAGCACAAAGTCTTTCTGCTCCATGTGACACAGAAATCAGGTATGAAGCTGCATTAATTTATCCCCATACAAAGCTGTGCATGACAAGGTCAACCTTTGTGTAGTAGCTAAACACCATTATAACTTTTGCTTTTAAACCATTAGGCAGACATTCTTTACATTTTGATTCCACCCCTACTTAAAAACTTAAACAATATGGAGACCTAACAGGAAGGTTTTCCATTTCTAAATCCCCTTTTTGGCATCTCTGTAAAATTCCTTGTTTCTCAGCGCTTTGCATTCCGCAAGATGCATGGGAAGATGCACAGCAGGTGCCTAGAGACAAATCTGGATGAGGCAGGTCCCTTCGATCTGCCAGGAAGGAAGAGGAATTAGAGATAGGAAGTGCCTCAGTTCTCCCTGGTTTGATCCAAAAGAAGTTTACAAATTTGCGTGTGGGAAACGAAACCCACTAATTGCTGCCAATTAGCCACAACATATTCGAATGTTCAAGATCACAAGTCTGTGGCTTCATCCAAATTCATTCTTCTTTCAGCACTGATTAAAGAGACAAGCTTTCCTTTTCCGTTCTGTGCTGTTATTCTTACAGCCAATAGATGTTTCTCCTTGCAGATTACTCAGTAAGAACTGAATTAAGACTAGCACAAATGACAAGGTAATTCAGATGGCAGAGGACCAAGTTACAGGACCAGCAGCAAGAAAGCAACCATAAACATTGGTGCAGAGTGCCTTGGCGAGTTCTTGTTGATTCAAGACGCTGATCCTTCCACAATAAGTCATGCCTAGCAGATGTGTGATATTCTGCATCTCTTAAGCGTGAGAATAGCAAGCATGTGGATGTCTTCAATATCATATAACATTAGCAGCATCACAGTAGAATTATTTTCTCCACCCCTGTCAAAATGTATGAAATTTGATATCATAATCTGAAGCAATCACTGGTGGAAGAGCCCAGGAGAGTCCATAAAAAACAGGGGCCAGTTCCTAAATAATGTGTGTTACTGACAGTCACTGGGAGCGGGGTTTCATTTCAGGTGCCAAATCCTCCCCACGAGAGGAAGCATTCCTTTCTTACACAGTCTGGCACAAGTCAGCACGCTTGATGCTGCTGAAAAACTTGGCTGGTTTTGGATATTCCTGAGCCTCAAGATCCACCTTGCCCTTCTTTGTCTCTCTAGAGGTAGCTCTTTCTGAGTAAGGTCCTCAGTGGCCCAAAGCGCCCTGTAACACTTGCTTTGAGTTTCATTTAAAGCTGCCCGCAAAAAAAAAAATAACCCAAAATAATACAAACCACCCCCAGAATACAGCAGTTGCTCCCAGCAACTCCACAGTTCTTCAGCTTAGCTATAGCAAAAACAATTTGTCACAGCAACAGCTGAAACAAGATGTGTCAGCAAGACGAATGTCTTGTTCACCCATATTGCAATGCTGACCAGGGCTGGAGGGAAGAAAACCAGTCTGCTTCCAGCATGTGTTAGGCAAGAAATACAAGCAACTGAACTTCATTGGAGATGGATACATGTCTGTATATCATCAGGTTCCCTAGAATAAGCCCCAGCTAAAACTCCTGATCCAAGTCTATTCATTCATACTCGTAGGACCATTGAATAACATTTAGGCAGACGTTATCCAAACATCCAAAATCTCCCTTAAACACATTAACATGATCTGAACTCTTTGAAGGACTCACACTGAATACATTTTGCAGTACCACATTTATTTTCTTGCAGTTTATTATCTGCTTTAATTGTTAAGATTTACAAATTGATCATCAAGTTTCGCAGACTGATTCTGGGCCTCAAAAGCCAAATTAGATTATTTTTCTGTGCAATATCAGGCTTTTGAGTTACAATTTCACCCACAATGCAAGCATAATGGCAGTTCTGTAAAAGCAGAAGAGCCCATCTTTCACTTCATGGGAATTAAAGTATACCTATACTTGCTTCCAGGCATTAGATAAACCACAAATATCTCCACTCCCACAGCTTTCTGATCTGTTCCCTCACAATACACTTACTGAACTCCAGAAAACCAGGGACCTCTACCAAACATTTCATGGCCAAATGCAAGCACAAGCATGTTTTGCTCAATTTCAAGTTCCGTTTTGAAATATTTGGTCTGCTTCTGCAATCTTTAATTTCTCCCATTTCCATTTTCTGTTTGCTCTCCCCATCACCTCACTCTTTTTAAGGGTATGCTGGTGAGTTTAGAGCTGAGGTTCAGCTTTATAATCTCATTCTTTTTCCTTGCCCACCTGTGTTTCTGTCCAGCACAAGGCTTCCATTTTCCCAGGATGCTGATTCAACTCAATTTCAAAACCTCTGAAATCTGGGCCTGGCTGATGTGGGGCTGTGGTAGAGGTAGACCTGCAGGATTAAGAGAGCACAGATGAGACCAGCACATCCCATACAATCCATCATAAGGAGGAAGAACACATCCCCTGCTTCATCATCATCATCCTTGGCTTTGCAGTGCAGGACAGAGCTGTGGTTTGCTTGAGACAGCCAAAGGAACATGGCCTGCTCTGGCTACATTTGTTAGTAGTTCTCAGTTAATTAATTGACCAGGATCTTCCTCGCCCCCCTTCACATACCTCATGCCTTTTTATCCTCTCCTTTGCTGACCACTTTTTCCTCTTAAAAATCTCCAACACACCAAAAAAAAAAAAAAATAAAAAAAAAAAAAAAAAAGTGAATCAATGCAGTCTTGGACAAGTTGGTCATGTTCTATGCTGGTTCCTAAGCCTAATCTATCTACTCCATTTATCTACACCAAATCCTGCTTGAATCCCATTTCCTCCTTTCAGCACTGGTGTGTTTCAAAACTAATGTTAGTTTCCCCCAGCACACAGATGCCACAGATTTATTCTAGCTCCTCAAACCGCACCCTGCCTGCCACATTCAGGAGACCAGATAGCATCGCAGACTTGCAGTGCCAGCACACAGATGCAGGTTTGCTCACTCACCACCTTTAAAGACACAAGAGGTAACTTTAGCAAGGTTTGTGTACAATTTTTGTGTGTTACCACTTGCCTGGTGAGGTTTGCCAGCTGCATTCATGCAGTAAGGCTCACCAGTAAGCATTAGAGGACAGAGCAGCAGCGTGCAGCCCAGATTATCCCAGATTTGGAGGAAGGATGTCAGAATTAAAGACATTTGCTTTAATTATTAGTTACTATGATTAGTCAAAGCCCCGAAGATTTTTAAAGCCAGGAAGCAGATTTTGAGCTGTAGGGGTATTCATGCTCTAAACTTTTCCTTCCTCAGAAATGTAATTGGTTTTGAGATGTAATTGGTTTCATCATATATACGATATTAACAACCATCCTCAGTGTCTTTGACTAAAATAAAAAAATCTAAAGTTACAAGTTCTTGCCCTTTCTGATAGAAATCACTCAATTTTGACCACCTGATGGGCCCTTGGGGTTAATTAGAAAATCCCCATCAAGAGCTCAGAGGCCAATATCAGCTGTCAAAACCCCGCATTCCCCTCTTTCACCTCTTTCAAGTGCAAAACAACCTGTGTCTGAAGATGTGCCAGAGAATAAAAGGGCACACCACCACCACTGTGGGCTCTGACTTAGACCTATTCATGGCCTCCCTACTATGAATACAGCAAAATCTCAAATGAAAGTTTTAATCTCCCCACTGCATTCAAGCCAAAGAGAAAAGGGCTTCCCTTTTAACAATTTCCCCCCTTAAATCTTTTGTGTTGCTCTGCTCCTGGAAAAGCTGAGATTTTGCTCAGACCCAGCAAGGGCTTTTTGCCGTAGAAAGCTGCACCTCAACCCTTTGTGCTGACACAAGAGTAAAGGTCTGCTCAGAGCAGAAGTAACTAATGCCAAAGGGCTTCAGAAGGCCTAAACACCAACTGAACAACATCAGAGTTAGAAGTGCAGATATCTGATCCCAGCTCTCTGCTCCCCTTCCCAAAGGTGTGCAAGCAACACTAAGATGAGCAATGCAAAACAAACACCCAAAAAGGACCAGATGCAACAGTGCTGGAAGCCGAGGCCAGAAAAGCTCCACTGCATGCATCTTCTGCAGAGGAAACAAGAGATCTCTCATGCATACAGGTGCTCATGCATGGGGGCTATTGGGAACCACTGGAGCATTGCTATCCTAGTGATCCCTTGCTTTCCCTCTGTCCAAGCAAAAGTTGTCCAATCAAACAGTGCTAGCAATTGAATTCCACAGCCAGCTTTATAACCGAGGTAATACAAGCGCAGCCTTTGCCACGTGGCTAACTGCTAGCCATGTGCTGGCATAGCAGTGCGGGTAAGTGCAGAAAGACAGGAGAAACTGAGCACGTAGAAATACGCATCTTCACATCTCCCCTTCTTCGTTTCAGTTGCTATTTTCCTGGCTCTTTCACTGACAAACACAGCTTTCACCTCCTCTTGCCTGGAGTAGAGCTCTGCCGAGTGCCTCAGATCTCTGCCACCACCATCCCATGGCACCCCATGCCCAGCCTCTCTCACCCAAATGAGGGCGACAGGGTTTTATATACACTCATTACTCGGTGCTTCCCTGAGACTGTACTCTCTCCCCTTCAAGTGATTATTTTAGTGGCTTTTTTTTTCCTTTATGAAGAGTAACACCTAAGTTGTACGGGCAGAGACAGCAGCATTCAGAGCCCTCAGAACAGCATTCACGTGGAGGCAGATGGAGAAGCTAAGCATTCATCTTGCTCTCTTCACTCTTGAATGAATTCTGCATGAAGCTTGAGCTCTCTCAGGACCCTTTCCCTCACAGCACCATGCAATTAATGAGAATGAGACGGAAAAATCAAAGAAAACATTGCAGTATCTCTCTGTCTGCAGTTTGCTCATTTTTTGAGTGTAAGGAAACTCTACCAGTTGGGTCACCATCAGAGTACAAAAGCATCTATCTTACTGAGGAAGAAAAAAGTTGTATTTACTTAATTAATATGCACTTGTGCTTTTTCATTGATACAAGGGCAACCCAGTGCTTGGAAATAGCACCTTCTGGTCACCACCTGCCCAGGGATTACTGCAGGCAGGGGATCAGTAACCAAATGGGGCTGCAGCTTGGGAATCGCCCCACTGCTGATGGGCCAGCAGCTCGCACCTTTCCCAAAGATGTTTCTGCCTAGCAGAGTTCAAAAGGCTCCAGTGGGCCCTCAATGATCCTTCTGCCCCAAAATTCATGCTATCCTGGCCAGAATCAAATTCAAAAGCAGCAGTAGGGCCTGCTTTGCCTTCAACATGGAGGAGGAAAAGAAGGAAAAAGCACTCCCTCACAGATTCACCCACCTTTGCGTATTCACAGTTTTCAGTTGTTTGATCATCACATTTAACTGATACTATATTGACATCGGATATTCCCACCATACATGGTGCCTTTCACTCCAGGTTTTCATTTCAACATTTACTTTATTAAACACACAATTGATAAACACAGCATAGCTTATTTCTGGTAAGCCAAGCACAGTTCAATGAACTGGATTTACTGCACTGTCAGTAATACCACATCATTTGTTTTTAGGAAAATGCAGAAGTAATTTAAGCTCACCATTCCCAACGTGAAATATTCTACTCTAATTTGTCCAAAGAGGAGACCCCCTCTCTGGAAGTGCCCAAGGCCAGGCTGAATGAAATTTGGGCAACCTGGTCCAGAGGGAGGAGTCCCTGCCTGTAACAGGGCATTGGAACCAGGTGATCTTAAGGGTCCTTCCCAACCCAAGCCATTCTATGGTGCTGTGAATTTAGGGTGAGGAATGCTGATTGTGTTGAGATACTGAACTATCACAGCTATCATCAGATTCTAAGGAGTACAGCGCAACAGGATAATTTAGTGCTGTATCTGTCATGTCATAGTTGTATTTCACTGGGAGGGGTAAGGCCACATGCCTTGTAGATAGTCACTGTCAAATCACTCTTACCAGAAAAACGGCCAGCAGTCATTGTGGTTACATTCAGTGTGCTAGCAGAGCATTTCATCTTTCCTTCAGTTTTAATATTTGTTCTGCCCACAAAGAAGAAAAACTGCTTCTGACAGGTTCTCAGTGATACCAGGTAAACTACTCACAGGTAGTTATATACAGAAGAAAGAACTGAACTCACCCACCTGGTGCAGGGGGCTTTCTGGCTGTGCAGCACTCCTCTCAGGAAGCAGCTTACATCCAAGAGATGCTCTCCACTCAATGTCTGGCCTTCATGAGTCCAGGTGGCTTCACCCTGGGTCCTGCCCTTCTGGTTCCATAGGGATCAGAAGTGCAAGCAATCTGCCTGTGCTCCCTGTGCCACCCACAGCCCTTCACCAAGCACTCAATCACCAGTTCAATCTGTGACCTAACAGCTCCCCTACAATATTAAAAATAACAAACTATGAAATAGCACCTTCAGAAACAGTCTCTTCTAAAAGTTAATACAAAACATTTGCAGGTGTTCATTTTGCCATCTTGTTTTGCACTGTATCCATAGTGAAGTTCCCCACAAAGTAATCCTAGCATAACAAAAGACAGCTGTGCCTACCAAGGCAGTGCTGGGTGGGAATCAGTAGCACCACTGCCAGTCAAAGGAAGCCATGAAATACTGAGAAGGAATCAAGTGAGTTAGCAAGCTCCATTCACCAGCACCGCACAGCAAAAACGGGGGGAAAAATAAGGAAGAAAGAGAAGTCTGAAGCCTCAGTCCCATAATGGTTCACTGTCAGGCACGGTATAAATAAACAGCAATTGGGAATAGCAGGAGCCTTCAAAAGATAACTAATTTCACCTGGTAGACTGAACTCTGACAATGCTACACGAATAGCCACCCGGCCACAGGAGCCACCATTAAATCAATTAACTGGTGCTGGACAACAAACAATACCCAACAGACAAATCAGAGGGCTGCATTTAGGCAAGAGCAGCAACGTCTTGGCAAACAACTCAACATTCAGCATAAACCATGTCCCTGCAGAACAAACATAAGCACACAATTTGCCCTATGACCAGTCAGGGCTGGTGGCAGAATCCCTCAGCATGGCAGCACGAGTACATCCTTCATGTGTTCTGCTTTTGATCTCTCCTTACCTTCATGAAGAATGAAGAGGAATACAGAAAAAATCCTCTATATAGGGTCCGGCGCTGGTCAGGGGGTCTGGTGCTGGGTCCAGCCCCAGGAAGAATCAGCAATCATGTTTAATTGCATCAACATCCCAGCAAAACCCAAGCAAAACAAAAGAAAAAAAGAAGGGTCCTCAAGGATCATCAGGCTCCAACCCCCTGCCCCAGGCAGGGCCGCCAGCTGCATGCTGTTTCCACACTACTGTGAGATCCTCTCTCATAACAGTTTGCTCGTCTGGGTCCATCTTCCTGAAGGAGGGCAGTGAGTGTCTGTGGCTATCAGAGCTACCTCAGGTTCTGAAGCACCGCAGAGAAGCTGCCAGCCTTCTCAGAGAAAGCAAAAAGAGATGGACAGCATTATTGTGTGCTAAAAGAATGCGATTCAGTTGAAATGTCTATAATCCACCTAGAATTCAAATAGTCATGATACAGATTGCACTCCTCTATGATGAGATCAAATACCAACTATTTAGGCAAAACTTAAATGCTGGCTGCGTTGGGAGTTCAGAAATGAGATGAAAACCAAGAGCAGGCCTGCTGATCTGATGGCTTATCTGCCCCTTTGCAAAGTGCTTCATGTCCCCCTGCGAACATTGCTGAGCAAGCCCATGTCTGTGCTTAGGAATGGCTTAATTTATATGCCCTCAGATTGAGGTCATATCAATACTGTGCATAATCTCCACCAGCTTTACAGATGCTTTAACCTGAGAACGTTCAAGCTCATTGAGAGCTATTCATCGTTGGCAGATTGATATAGGAACTGACAATTCACTGCCATCCAAGTGGATCTGAGAAGACAAAGCTCACATAAATATTGTTGAGCATATCCCATTGTTGCTTCTTTATTTGTGCCGTTCGGCTTGCTACAGCTCTGCGCAGAAGATCACTTCTCTCCCTGTCATCTATCTGATAGCAAACAAAAAGCTGCTCACTTAGCTTTTTCCAGTAGTGAACTGTGCTAGAAACATTAAACACAGGTCTGCCCACCCCAACCACAAAATGATGCGAAATAAGAGTACAGCTGGACAGAGACCAGAGAAAGTCCAGAAAGGCGCTGGAACAGCTTGCAGCGGGGTTTCTGCAGTTAAAAACATGCAGAAGGAAGCATGAGAACTTGCAGTTTTGTGAGCTGGGCTGCCTATTTACCCAGCCTCCGTCCTTACCATCAGAACATAGAAAGAACCCAGGAGTCTCAGTGCCTTGTACTCTCTCCTGCCGGTTAGATACTTCCCCTTCCACTGCATCAAAGTACAAAGAAGTAAAGCCCCATGTTTTTTCTGAAGTACTCCCAGTTGATTCTAATGGTTTCATTACACAAGGCAGGCAGGCAGGCAGAGACACTCCATTTCAGTTGCCTTCATCTTGCTCCGCATTAAACAACCAGACCCACACCAGTCGTTAGGTGCAAAAGTCAAAGTAACAGGACTGGACAGTTGTCAACCGGCTGAGGGCTTCCATTCAGAAAGCTCTGGCTTTTTTCTTAGTCTTATTTATTCTTAATACCAGCGCAAGAGGGCAGAGTCACTATTAACTCATAACAGCATTGCATTAATCAGGCACGCCATCTGCTTGCATGGCCCAGCCTTCTGGATGCACCAGGCATCTTCCATCCACAAGAATTAACCACAAAGATACTGCAGCATAGCTGCCTTATGGCCATGGCTTACATCAATTTGTTTGTGCTTTCAGACACTGACCCTACAACAGCTAATTCAGTGAGCAGGCTGGTTCTATTTTGTTTACATAAGAAGTAAGGGGTCCTGATCTACATCTTTCCTTCTTCAGCAGCAGCTTATCAGGATCTTTTGCCCAACTCCTAGCTTGGAAAGAGACAGCTTTCAATCAAGGGGAGTGCATCCTTCCCAGATTGTTCTAAAAAGGCTGAAGGTATGGTAGGAATGTAACATAACCAAGGCTGCAGAAGGCAGGTAAAGGTTACAATTACACTGGAAGTATACTATTGCTGAGCTACACTTGGAGAGAAAAGGTGAAGCAAGATTGAAAACAGCCAGCACAGCTTGCTGTTCTGGTCCAAAAGGACTCATTTTTGTTCTCTCAGGTATTATTTCTTCATTAGGAGAACCAACCAGAGCATAACCATTCACAACCTGCAGTAGGCACATGTTCATGGTGAAGCCCGAGTTCAATTCATCAGGCACCAGGCACTCAAGCCATGCACCAACACCACAGTGATGTCTTCAATCTGGGGAGACGCAGAAAACTTGAGCTGTTACTTAAGTTTTAATCTAAGAGCCCCACCAACCCTAGGTAACAGAGAGCAAGGTGTGAGCATATGCATTCAATACAACTGAACTGAAAAGTGCCTGCTAGAAGGTTTACATTTGCTTAGAGATTTTTTTTTTCCCCCCCCCTCTCCTTCCTGAAGGAAACACCTACAGTTTCCTGGAGAGCACTCTCATTGGGAAGGAAAAATGCGAGCAAGAAAAGCCCATTTTCTCCCCAAGCCCCTGCTCAGTGATAGCACTAAGTCCTCCCCACCCTCTTTCTCTGCTGCTGTTGAGATGCATGCGCTCACCAGGATCTGGCCCTCATTCCCCTGTGGCCACCCTTACATACCAATGGCACACACAGGCCAAGCGAACTGGGCTCTCCCACTTCCTCATCCCACTGCACTGCTGCACTGCAGTTCGGTATTTACACCATGCTCACATTGCATCTTTTCCTGTTGACTTCACTTTTACCGAGCAGGAAAAAAAATGATCACATATGCCATTCTCCTAAATAGTGAAAGCAGCAGCAACACCGTTTACACCCAGCACAAGAATAAAAATGCAAACAAGCCTCAGAACACGACTTTCTTTGGGACAGTGTCAGACCTCCGTGTGAACAACCCCAGCATCAGAGCCTGGAAAAAACAGCTTCTGGAGCCCTATAGAGGTGCTTTTGCTTCCCTGACTTCTCACACACTATTCTTTCAAATGAATTTAAGGCTTTTCTTGTCCAAATCCCTGCAAAAGTAACCACACTGCAGTTTTCCTACTATTATGCAAATAGATTAATCAGCCAACGCTCCAGTGAGAATTAATTTATATTTGAATCAAATGAGGCCTGGAGTCTTTATAGCCGAACCCTCGGGCCAAGGCCCGGGCTAGGTAGCAACCTCATATTATTCATGTGACGAAATGTGAACTGACACAAATACCACGGCTGGCTTTCAATCCGATTACCCCGTTACCTCCCATCAATGCTACCCCAGCCACCAGCCCCTCGCGTCCCTCCTTTCAGCGGCACAGCCAACAACTGACAACTCCTCCCCGATAAACAAGCACCCACGCCACCACCTCGGAGCCCCACTCTTAACCCATCATCCCTCCTCAATGGCCCTTATTCGACAAGGTGCTTTATTTTGTTTGTAAGAACCGGGAGCCAAACGGCGCAGAAATGCTGCTGGGCTGGGGCTGCAATTCAAAGTTGCTCTTTCAGAGCTGCACTGCACTCAGTCAGTAAGAATTAACGCCCAAAACAGACACCAGCTCCGTCTTTGTACGCACACACACACAGGTGCACATTTAGTTTCATAGAACTGCTGACATCTGTTATCTTTCTAGCTCTCCTTAGCCCTCGCATGAAACAATGTTCGGGGCTACTGCGCCCAGAGGTCAGTGTAAAGTGAACCCACATTTTATGCAGCATCCTTATACTAAACTCATGTTGACAACCACTAAATTCTTCCCATTGCACGACACAGGAACTTGTTTTTTAAAAAAGATTTTTTTCTTCTCCCTTTAGAGCTGTAAGCATTTTAAAAGCTTGGCTAAACAATCCTCCAGGTGTGAGAAAAGCCTTTTTTGTGTGAGCAGCTCTGTGTCAGGAAACCTACACTTCGTAATTAGATTAGCAAGCGAGAGCTGCATGGCTCTGATCAAAACATCTCCCCTCACATATTGTTTATAGCACATAAGCGATAACTAAGCTTCCCTCATCGTGGCTAAAGCCTACTTAAAAATGGGGATGCTACACACTCTAAAATTTAAATGAAGAGAAAAATGAAATAAAAGACTATACGTCATTACTCTGCTGCTTCATCTAGACCTGAAAATGCAGGTCACAAACAAACCCCGTGATTAAACAGACTCTGATTTCATCATTCCTTTGGTTTTAATAATCTTTGTGCTGCTCACAAAGAAGCAAAATATTGTTTTGAAAAATGCTTGCCAATGCTATCATTAGTCTCAAGTAGGCCACTAGTCATATTTGGAAGGAAAAGCTGAACTCACCAAACCGGTGAAAAAATCTTCAGCCAGGCAATATAACTTCACAAAAAGCAGTCAAGGCACAAGAGAAGCTCTACTTCCCATGGCTGGCCCTTATATGAGCCCAGGAGGGCACCACCCTTGGTTCACCCCTTCTGTTCACAGGTGCAAATGATCTGCCCGTGCTCCCTGTGCCAGCCACAGCCCTTCACCAGGTGCTCAGTCACCAGTTCAAGCTGTGACCTAACAGTTCCACTACACTGTGGGTTCCTGTGCCACTTGGAAGAGAAAGTTATCATCGGTGCACTCCAGGAACCTCTTTGGACGCTTGTGTATTGCTGTGTCGTCCTTCCAACAGATATCAGGGTGGTTGAAGTCCCCCACGAGGGCTGTAGCACGTGAACATGAAACTGTTTCTGTCTGTTTATTGAGGGCCTCTTCTAGTTTGTCTTCTTGGTCAGGCAGCCTGCAGGAGGCCCCCGCTATGATGTCTCCTTTCCCTGCCTTCTCTTCAACCCTGGCACATAAGCTCTCTGGCAGCTCCTCATCCATCCCCAGGAGGAGCTCCATGGTCTTCAGCTGGTCATTGATGTAGAGGGCAATACCCTCACTCCTTCTTTCCTGCCTGTCTTTCCTAAATAGTTTATACCTGTCTATTTCTATGTTCCAGTCATTTGAGCCCTTCCACCATGTCTCAGTGATGCCAATTGCATTGTAGCCCTGTAGGCCTGCACACCACACACCTGTAACTCATCTTACTTGTTCCCCATGCTCTGTGTGTTAGTGTACAGGCATTGAAGATGGGCACCCATTAGGGCCCGACCAATCAGGGTTCCCTTGTCCTTCACTTCAGGTGTTCTCTTCCTGGCCTGTGGTTCTACTCCAGGGCTTCCATTACTGCCACCAGCCTCAAAGTGTGATGAGTTGAAGATCACCTCCCCCCAGCACAAGCTTTGCCCCTGACTTCAGCTCTGACAGAGTGAATGACGTTCTCAGGCTAAAGCCATGGGGAAAAGCTTTTCTAAAATTGCCTTTACATATTCGTCCTCTCCTTACTCCACGACACTTCCATTTGCTTCCAGAAAGCTGAAAACATCAGTGGAGGACTGATGGGACGTGTATTTCCCCAACCTGATGGCTGGTGGAAAACAAAGGTGGTATCTCTTCCTGCCTTGTCTGATAGTAGCACCATTCTCTGAGAAGGAACACTTCCTACAGGCTAAACTCCCATCTGAAGTGTCCAGTATTTGTATGTCAAAGAAATCTTACAAGTGCATGTGAGATCGGAACCTGACAAACTTTTCCTGGTGATAAAATAGAGATAAAAAAGAGAGACCTTCATCTCCAAATACAGGGAAGCCACAACATCTGCAAAGCAAAGCCCAGAAGAATGGCAGCCCTGCTCCGATTTCTGCAGTAAGCCAAGTGTTTCCTAAAGAGAACAACTCTTACTCATGCTCTGCAAGGAACTGATGGCTCTGAATCCAGAGATCTGGACTTGGATCACGTTGCAAGGCCCGAAGAGATGTCAGTGGTACAAAAGACTACAAAGCTATTCATTCCTCAGCCACAACTATTCCATTCTCCATGGTTTTCTCTGTCTGAAACATCTCAAATCAGCAAAAAGCAGCCCACAAGGACAAACAGAAACACGGCTGCCTACTTTCATCTGCCTTTCCGATTTACACAAAGGAACTTAGAGCAGAATGCATGGACAGCTTTCTGATTCATTTCTCATCAGCTCTATGAAATGAAACCCCCTGCAGGACAAAGTTTCTCATCTCTCTTCTTCAGTCAAAGTTCCAGAAATAAAATATGTTCTATATTGCTTTTCCAGAAAGGCCAGCACATGTAGTCTCCTCCTCCATGGATGTACCACAGTTTGCCAGACACCTGTGGATGAGTACAGCAGTGGTAAGGCTGGTCCTGGAGCCATTCTAGCTGGTTCTGGAGAGATTTGCCACTGCCACTGGCAAAGGATCACCACTTCGTGTTGCAATCAGTTAGTAGGAGTAGAGTTGAAATCTGATTTGGGGTGGGAGGAATCCTTTAATTCTCTGCACTGACTTCAGTGGAAGAGAAATACATGTTGGAGAAAGTAAGAAGGAAGGTACTGCTTCTGTGTGATTCTGTGCTTCCCCTTGTCCTCGAAGAAATGAGGGCAAAGAAAAAGGCACTGTGTTGCGCTCCGCAAACCCCAGCTCTGTGAAAGAAGCTGGCTTTAGGGAGGTTGTGTGTTTGTTTGTTTATTAGCCAGACCAGTGGAGAAGAAAGAAGGAGGATTATTCAAGCCTGGAATATTGCTATTTTAAAACAAGAGTGCAGGTTGGGGAACGGATAAAAGAATGAGGTGGGCAAAAATTATCACACCTGCAAGAAAGGGTGCCAAGTAAACAGGCTAGGGAGGAGTTAGCAAAGTGTAAGCAAGACACAGGGACTAAATTAAAGTTAATTACTTCTGACAAGATGGGATCATCTGGTTGCATTTCAGGCCCTGCGCTCTCTGGGCTGGCCAGGATGAATGGCGAGGGAGAAGAAAGTAACTCTCTCCTCCAGGTCCCTCTGCCAAGTCTGGGCCGCGCGCTCTGTCCAAGATCCCTCTTTCTTTGCGCAGAGAGAGAGAGGGGGAGAGGAGAGAGAAACACAGTTAACCACCTGTCAGGGCTGAGGACACAATAAGGCAGCCCCCAAAAGAGCTTTTCATGCATGCGTAATATATTTGTTCAGCTATTCACTTAATGAAGCTGATAAATGTGATGCGAAACAATGGTCAAGTTAATCTATTTAGTAAAATGTTTTGAGACTCTCAGGCGATGTTAAGGAGGGTAGTGTGTTCGGGGACATTTTCATTTCAATACTCTCATCTCTCCCCTCTTAGGGGGGTTCGAGCAACCTATGTGAATATAATTTCTTATAAATGTGTCTTTAATGGGTTTAATTCACCCTTGCCAGCTGTTTTTTTAGCTATTTTGTAAGAGCAAAACAAACGTGCCAGGCTTGGAAAGCTAGTTAAAATTAGTTTCGGTCACTGGGGCCAAGCTATATTTCCTGCAAACCATCTGCTTGATTGGCACAATAGAAGGATTTTCAAGAAAAAAAAAAGAACAAAAAAAAAAAGGCGGGGGGGGGGGGGGGGGGGAAGGAAGGGGGGGGTGTTGGATCTAGAAAAGCTTTGAGCGAGCCACCAGTTTCTGTTCCTTGTGCTGAATTCTAAAGGTGCAGCCTTAGGTGTCGCAGCGCAGCCCTGTCGAGGCTCCCGGCCGCTCCCGGTGCTCGGAGCAGCGCAGAGCCCAGGTTCTTCGCTTCGTCCCTCCCGGCTCGGGTCGGCCCCGCGTCGCCTCCAGCACTCCGGGAGCCGGGCCCGGCGCTCCGTGTCCTCGCTGGAAGCGGAGGCTCTCCCAATTTCATGCGGATTACCAACCCCGGCCCGGGACACACGCAGGCTGCCGCCGCCCCTCGGCCCCACCGCCGACGTTCGTCCTTTTTTTTTTATTTTTTTTTTTTTTTTCCCCTCTTTTTTTCGCCTAAGAAAGCGAGTGACTTTTAAGAAATAAATTTGAAGATAACGACATTAAAATGAATGGCAGGAAGCACAAAACCGCATGAGCATAGGTCAAACGGCATTAGTCACAGGTTTTATCCCGAGACATTAGAATTCCCTTCTCTTAAGTGATCACCGCCTTTGAAAAGAAACTTCCAAAAGAGATCGCTGAAAATGAGATCCTTTCGTCTGATTTCTTGGTTCCTCGCGGCCTCTCGTCCCTTTCAATAGACCTCTGGTCCCTTTTGCCGTGGTGCTTAAGGAATTCTTTACGAGTGTGCTCAGACGCATCGCGAGGAACCGGGTCCACGTGTGCCCCAGCGTGCGCCTGACCCAGCGCAACCCAGCGTGTCAGAGCCCCTTCTTGAGGCAGGCGAAATGCGCAGCAGCCGGTGCACAGCGAGGCGAAACAGCCCCGATGTATCGGCAAAAAAAGAAAAAGAAAAAAATAAAAGGAGAAAACCATCTCAGAGGGCCCCGTATGACTGTAAAGCACTGAGAGGAGCCGGCCCCGCCCGGCTGGGAAGGGCAGAGCGGGGAGAGAAGGGCCAAAGGGAGGAAGAGGGAGGGGACGGACAGCGCGTTACTTGTATGGGGAAAGCCCCGCTCGCTTTTTTTCCCATTGACTCTCGTTCCACACCTGGAACGGACTGGATAGAGCTGAAATAACCCGGGAGGGGGGCAAGAGGGAGGCTGAAAGCGGGAGAGACGCGGCAGTCCATGCCTCCCCCCCCCCCCCATACCCAGCTATTAGCCGGGCAGGTGCTGGGGTCCCGCCGCGCTGCCCTCGCCCTTTACCTGCTTAGCGCCGAGATTAACAAACCCGGGGAGGTTTCATCAACAGCGGGGCCGCCAGCCCCCCGCCTCCCTCCCTCCCTCCCTCCGCAGATGCCCGGAGATGTGTCAGCATCGCTCGAGCTCGGGGGCCGATTCCATCCTCTGGTAAATAACTTTTTGATTTGAATCGAGGGAGAGGTTTAACAGACTTTCTTTCTTCCTTAATGTGATATAAATCGCAGATGCACTTTTCTTGAATGGTTAAAGCATCGACATGGAGATCACCGGCACAAAACGGGCGGACAAAAAGCATCGGGAGAAATAAAGCTGGTTAATAAGATTTTTGAGAAAGCTTTGTGTTAAAAAGTAAAAAGGGAAAACAGCTGAAGGTGACAGTTAGTTCATGGTTAATAGGATCAAGGCTGCATGGCTGAGCTGCACACTTCTGCTCGCTAAGGTTCAGCCCCACCAAAGGGCTGAATGGGGTGCTTTTAAAACATAGGACATTTAACACATCTGTTATATTCTTTAACACAGAAATCAGGTGTGGGGCGCTCTCAATACTCGCTTTCATCCCCCGGCTCCAAAGGAAACTAAATACCCTCGCGCCCGTTTCCATCTCTGCCTCTAAAAACGAACCCAATCCGCCAGAAAATAACGCGATTTCGCGTTTTTCTGCTGCCGATGCCCCGCGGCGGGCCGGTCCCGCACACATTGGGGAAACTCGGCTGCCGGTGCGCGCAGAGCCGGCCCAGCTCGGGC